CAAGTTACCACATTTGTGATCATGGAGTCATCATTGACTACTTCCATTTATTTTTTCCCCAAATTGTTTTCAACTCCTGTTGATCCTTCTTTGGGGAAGGTCTCTTGAGTTTTTTCTTTTATATCTATCCTTAATACTACTGCCTGAAGACTGTCTACCAGTGGTTCTCAACCTTCTTAATTCTGTGACCCTTTAATACAGTTCCTCATGTTGTGGTGACCCACCCCAGCCATAAAATTATTCTTGTTGCTACTTCATAACTGTAATTTTGCTACTCTTATTTATGAATCGGGCAATCCCTGTGAAAGGGTAGTTCAACCCCCAAAGGGGTCGCGACCCACAGGTTGAGAACTGCTGCTCTCGACTATTAGAACATTCTTACAAATGGTGTTCCTTTTGCCAATGCCATTCTAATCCTGTCTACTCCCACACAATGGCTGTCTATGAGAAAGCTTCGCTTTGATGACATCACTCCATTTTACCTACAAGGTGAAACCCAAAATTGTTAGACTTTTTAATTGGCTGTTTTCCAACCTATATTCAATTACTCACCTTTCAGAAACCTCTTTCCAGATAGTCAGGTCTACTCATTTAGTTTAAATGTTTTGAACCTCTGAACACATAATTTTCCCCCTTCCTACCTAATTCTGCCCCCCACCTTTCTTTTTTCACCACCTCCCCTCCTCTGTGAAGCCTTCTAAAATTATTTACCATTTTTCGTTATTTTTATTCTTCAAGTATGTTCACTAACAGTTTTGCAAAATATGCTGCATAAGGGAAAGTTTGATACTAAAGTTGAAATACACGGTACAATCAATCTATTTGTCCCTTGGAGAGATAGGATAAATATTAACATAATAATTCCCAAAGAAGAGAAATCTATTTAGCTTTATTATTAATGCAGCACATCCCAAACATATTTAACCAATGTACCCTTTTCTTTTTACCTAATAGTAATAGTAATAAGAATAATAACCACCACTTATTGAGTGCTCCCTATGTTTCAGAGACTGACCTAAGCACTTTATGTATTAATACTATGAGCGAGGTACTGTTTTCTTCCCTACTTTATAGATTAGGAATCTTTAACCATATTGAATTATTTGCTCAAGATCATACAGTAAGTAGTATAGTCACAGTTTGAGCTAATCCGAATCCAGAGCCCTTACTTTTCTCTAAACTACCTCCCACATTTATTGCTTGATGCCTATAGAAACGCCATAGAAGGAATACTTCCAGGAAATCACTTTGGGAAACCATCATCACAGGATATTGTCGGGAGACTGGAGATGGGTTGGTTTTTCGGCTCCCAAGGGTGTGTCAGTGCACAGGTTTCACTTGTTTTCCTGCACTTCGCCGATCTGCAGTTTTTGTATCGACGCCAGTTTGCCAGCAGCGAATGCTCACTTCTTGTTTCGGAGTCACCTCGTGACAATCCTCACCATATTCCAAACTCGTGTATCACGCTATCGTGCACCTCAGTGGACTACAGCGTAGTGTGAACATGACCTTTCTATGTGTGGGAAATCAAAACCCTCGTGTGACTTGATTTACGGCCACATTTGCATTGTTGCCCTGGCCTGGGGCTGACCCCAGAATATCTTCAAGGTAAGCTTGTATTATTTAAATTAGTTTGCAGTCATTTATATGTAAAGCTTTCATTTACAAAGGTACCTGCTTTGTCTTCTTCAAGTGTGACTCTTTGCAAATGATTATTCTTTCAGAATTAAATTTCTCAGAAGTGGAACTTCTGCTTGTTATTTTTTCACAGTTGTTGAATCATTTTTTTTGAACAGTCGGACCAAACAGTACCTTGAGGTGGAGCTTTGCCCGTAAGTTCTCTTTTAATGCATATGAAAAGTTGTTTGCTGCTGTATAAGTAATTTAAAAAAATCATTATCTGCTCAAATATTCTTTTGGGTTTTCAGAATATGCTTGGGTCCCACCTATATTTGCTATTACAGACATCAAATAACGTTAGAAACATTAACATAGATAGACTGCATTTCCTCTGAAATGTAAAAATCACAGGAGATTGAGAGTATGATGTTACTGTAAGGCTGACCCATTTTGTTTGATTAAGATGACCATGAATGGTGCCTTTTCAGAACATTTGGTTATCAAAAGCATAGAGGACTTTTGGTGTAGTTCTGATAACAAAAATTTAAAAAGTATATTTATAGATCTATTTGTT